TTTCCAGTCGCAGGTGACTTGAAGGTGAAATCGCCTTTCTTTCCCTTTGTGGTAACTGAATGCTTAATTGAGAGGATTTTTTTTCCCCCCTTAGTTTCATAGGATTCAAATGCTTGGAAGCAAAGAATCTTGTTTCAAAGTCAACATTTCTCCTTTCAATTAAAGGCCGTAGAAAGTTCCCAAAGAATGAGTCACGCAGCTGGTTTCCCCAGTAAGAACAAGGAAGATAAGGTTCAACGATTTTTTGTTATTTTTATGAAGGTTTAAAAAAAAAAAAAAAAGGGAAAAAAGTTGCAGAAACATTCTTCCGATTTTTTTTCTCCTTAATGAAAACCATACGCTCGTTCTCTCGACGCAGTAAAGTCAAATCACTATAACCCTCTCACTGATTTCAAGAAATTACTTGCTGACCTTTGAAAAGTACTGCATGTCATTGAAACCTGTGGAGAAAGCACGAAGTGGAAGAGCATGTTTCTTTTTTTCTTTTCAATGGATAACCAAAAAGGAAGCACAGTGTTCGTACAAAGGTAATTTTAGGCTACGTAGATGTTTAATTTTCTGGCTGTGGTTAGTCCTACTGAAGTTGGACAGGAGACAGCATATATGCATGACACTAATCATGTGTACAGGGGTTGCAGGCTCCACTGAGGTGAGGCAGTGAAGGTTACCAGGATAGAGCTGTGTATGCCCTGGAGGCTTCCTACTGCACCTGTGTGCTTTCTGAGAGGAAACCAGGGAGTGTTGGTCTCATGTTTGCTCTTAGTAGTTCCTAGCATTCTTTGGGATTTCCTCAACTATCGTTTGCATTGCTACAGTGTACAAAGGCTGTTTTCAGTGTGAAAGTTTGATGGAGTTAAGCACTGCACAAGCATATAGTAGTGCATGACATCTACAACAAGAGCACAATGCACGCATCTTGTCGTGGTATTATGTTTATTGAAATGTGGCTGTTTTCAGTGTGAAAGTTTGATGGGGTTAAGCACTGCACAAGCATACAGTAGTGCATGACATCTACAGCAAGAGCACAACGCACGCATCTTGTCGTGGGGTTATGTTTATTGAAATGCGGGATTCCTCAGCTGAGGAACAGTGAAGGGTTTCCATTTTCTCGGGGTTAAGTAGCTGATTGTGTGTATGGCTCACGTCATTGCCTTTTGCTTCCTGACAAACCAACAGAGCCACTGACAGTCAAGTGATATCAGAGCTGTGCTGCTGGTGAAACTGGTGTCATAGTTCAGTACTCTGAGCAAGTTCTTGTAGATACTCCACACAAGGAGGGTTTAATGCTTCAATGCCAAGTTTACTTACGGCGAGATATTTAATGTTACACGGAGTTTATTTTGACCTAGTGATACACAGTGGTCGCCTGAAATCATAGCACAAGCCTAACTTAGCAGCTGCAACAGACAGTCAAACTACAAGACTAGCAGCACACTCATTTCCAGTCCCTGTATGCTGACCATCACGGTAATGAGTGTAGGGAGGAATAAATCAGAAGACTGTAGAGGAAGATTGTAAATTGCTCAAGTGACCTCATGGCTGGGAATAACTCTTGATAAGCCTGTATGAACAGCAGGCCAGTGATCCTCTAGCATGGACTGAGTTCAGCAGTGCCTGTGTCTGCTTGTGTACCTCTGCCCACATGTTGCTTTGGGGGTTGCTCAGTTCGTGAGGTAACAGGAACAAATTTGCTTTTTGTGTTCTGTCTGCGAGTTTGTGGTTGTTCCTTCTGCCCGCCTGAGTCAACTCACACACTGGCTATCCCCAGCTATCAGGGAGGAATATGTGGCTGGACTCCAGCTCAAGCCCCTTGCTCTCTTCAAAATTCATTTTGTTGGTTACTTGATTTTGGTGCCCTGTGTTGGACTGAACTGTGTAGATGCTTCACCCATGCTGTTCTGGCTGACTCAGGAGCAGAATACTTTCCACTGATTCTTTTAGGGAAGGCCATTCACACAGTCAGTTGTCCCACGCTGTTAATAGAGCCATTTCTCTAATTAAACAGAGGTCACCCTCTGGTCCCCTTGGTGTTCATGAGCACATGCCTGTCTCCCTTGAGTCTTTTTCCATTGTGGGAGTTCACTGGTGGTTCACAACTGGAAACGGGATGATGCAAAGACAAAAGGCTGGCTATCCAGTACGTAAAATGTTCATTTTTTTGTTTACTTTTCTTTAGCACTGATTCTTTGCAGTTTTCAGTTCAGTAGTAATGAAGGTACTTAATTAACATCTCTGGAAACAAATGGACTTTGATTCTTAAATTTGATACAGCCCTGGAAATAAGAGGATGAAAGTGACTGTCTGGTTCATAGAAGTTATCAGTTGGTACCATTCAGCTGAAAATGAGGCTGGCACATTGCTGGTTTGACCAGACCATCCTCTTCAACGGGTGCCTGCTTTTGGAGCATGGTCACTGGTACATGTCAAATGGTTTTGTTTACAGTCCTCAACTGACCACTGCTCTCCTCCAGCAAGGTGACCACTGTCCTGTTCAGTGATGTGTGCATCGTCCGTCACAGTGTATTTGTCAATAGGCCAATTTGGTAATGAAGTTTTTTTGTGTTGTGAGTAAACAGTGAGGACTGGGTTTTTTGCCATTCAACTTGTTAATTCTCTTCCTTATCTTTTTCAAGGTTTGGACATCTAAGCGTGGCCCACATCTTGCTGGAGAATGGTGCTGATCTCAATGCACAGAATAAGTTAGGAGCCAGTGTCCTCACAATGGCCTCCAGAGGTGGCCATGTTAGCATGGTGAAATTATTGCTGGAATCTGGAGCTTTTGTAGACAATTACGACCATTTTAGCACAAAGGTACTTAACAGCAACAGAGATGACCTTCCAGATATCACTCCACTAATGGCAGCGGCTCAGCACGGACATGAGGCAGTGGTACACCTCTTATTAGACTGGGGAGCTGATTGCAATTACACTGTGAAGACTATGGGCTGGAGTCCTTTAATGCTGGCAGCTGTTAGTGGAAAGGTGAGTTTGGCACAGCAGCTCATGGAGAAAGGTGCCAATCCTGATCACCTGAATGTACTACATAAAACACCTTTTGAAATCTCTGTTGGCTTCAAACACAAAGACATGAAGGACTACCTGGAATCTCTCACAACCATCAGACCTCAGGCAGGTACGGAGTGTTTGTTTTTTTTTGTTTTGCTTTCTTGCAGTTTTGATGGTGTCAAAAAAAATGTACGTGATGTCATTTATAATTTGTAATGACTATTTTGAAAATGTTGGAGTCGGTACAGGTGCTTGTCATGACTGTAGATGTTTGATCATGTCCAGCCTCCTAAGGAAGACATCAGTTGGTTACAGTACACAGAGAGAATCAGACATCCATGGCATTCACTAGTGCAGCACTTTATAACTTGCCCATGTGTTTGTATGTACAGAACATATGTGCCGGCAGAGTTAGCCTGATGAATCTTGAAAATTCTGTGTGGTCATATGACCTAAAGTATTGAAGAAGTCTATTAAGCAAGGAGAGTGGACTTGATTTAAAGCAGAATAATGTTTCTGTCACCTGTGCTGAGGGGGTGTTTCCATTAGCAGAAGGCTAGTAACTAATTTGGGCAGAGAGCAAGTAAAAACATTAAATTTCCACACAAATTTCTGCACTGGTTTTTGACCATAGCTTCAGTCTCCTCCTAGCACTAGAGGCTTGAATATCCTGGGAAGAAGAAAGATCTCTTCTGTTATACGGAAAGCAACAGAAAAAGAACTGATCCATTGCCACAGATAGGGTGAATTGCCTCCCAGAAGAAAGCAGCTCTCTTCCTCAGGCTGTTTTCAGTAGCAAATTCAGAACTATCCAGAATGGCCTGTGTGTTGCCAGTCCACTGTCACTGTCCTTACTTTGGCTTTTCCAGATGGCAGTCTTTCCTTCTGGTGTCTTCTCATGGTCTCCTGTTCCCTGAGGCTTTTCACATGCCAAGTATGGTGTCTGGTCCTTTCCTAAACTAGTCTTTTGAGATCTGTTTTCCAGTGGTGAGCTTGTACACACAGGTCCTTCTGTAAGAGCAGTTTCTGAACCAGGAGAAAACATAGAACCCACCACTTTCTTTTTCTGGTCTTAAAATAAGAGTTTCTCATGAAATTTCAGGCTTCTCAGCAATTGCTTTGGTTCAGCATATTCAAATTACTTCTTTTGGAGTCAAACTATGGACATTAACCTCTTCTGTAGTATCATAAAAATGCCGGTATTGGGCTCACAAAAATCTCTTTAACATCTTGTTTTCCTTAAAATCTTGTTACCCCATTGATTCTGTGGTGTCAGTAATAAATTGGAAGATGGACGATATATTTTATGGCTTAAGTGGAAGCTGCAAAATATGTCACTATTTTTTTCCTCACCTTACATAATGTCAGAAGTTTCAGAGCACTTTGAAGGTATGTAAGAGGAATGATCCTTCACTCAAAATGTTACAGTTTGTAATAATTGCAGTTCTTATTATGGGGATGGTAATCTGGGAGCTGAATAATATCTATTAATGCACAAATAGCAATAGTGTAGTTAAATAATCACTATTGTTTTTGTGACCTTCACAAATTAACCTGGCAATACTCAAGAGGAAATAAAACTGGGGCAGCTTGTAAAACTCCTTTTGAATTACCTTTCAAAATAATCCTGTACTGTTTGAGTGTTCACTGTTGTACAGAGGATTATACCAGACCACAGAACCATACTGTGGTTCTTTAATGAATATTTTAGTCTTCCAGGCAGGAAACACAGAAGTTTCCAAATATAATTTCCTGGTAGAGAATGGAAGTTGAAAGCCTGTGCTTGCGCTTTATTATAGTTTGTAGCTTTAGCCCTGCACAGAGAACCATACAGGTGAGTCATTCATCCCAGAGGGTATAAAGAAGTTGTCAATGGTTTCTTTGTTCTTAATAATGTATGTATAAACATATGTTTTATAGTACTTCTATGTAAAAATTTTAATAGTTTTTGCTATAAAAATTTTACTAGAAACTTTGGCTTTTTTATTGATTGCTAATAGAAATATTTATTTCTTCCAGATACAGAAAAGAGGCAACCTGATGTCTTTCATGCTTTGAAACTGGGTAAGTACTACATGATTCTTTCACCACTAGTTCTTGTAAATTCAGAGCATGTTTGTTTGCCAACGTGGGAAACAGAGAGGGTTTTTCTGTTTCTACTTTTCACATGTAAGCTACCAAAACATCTTCCTGGGAAAGCCTTGTGTCTGTTAGATTTCTAGAGACTTTAGGTGCCTTTCTTGTACTCTTGTGATCTTTGAGATTTATAAATGTTAGTCAGGATTACTTAGCTGGGTCAGAGGGATATTGGGGAGGGTCCAGATGAATACTGTTCAGCATACTGGTTTTGTTTTTTCACTTGGCTATGGATGGCAGCACTGTTAAAAAAGCGACTCACTAGATTAAGGAGTGTCCAGGCTAGGGTTCAAAGTCAATTCTGGAGTCTCTGTATATTCCAGGGTTTCTATTTAACAAAGTCTATGATAAAAAAAGCCACTTGCTGTTTTTTATGAAACTCGGACATTAAAAAGCAAAGAACTAATTTTTTTAATAATTCCAATTCCAAGAAATTAGATAAGCGGCATGGGTGGGTGTTAGTTTCAGTGAGTACATTCAAGTGCCTGCAGGGTTTGTCTGGGAAAATGTTCATGCCTGTGATTGAGTTGAAGGCAGTCCCTGCCATGAAGCAGTTTACCATTTGAAAGTTTTTTTTTAAAGGTGAGAATTTTTACATTTGCATGGTAGCTGGTGTTTTGCTTGTTCTTGCCCCTGTTTCTGTGGTGGTACACATGGTCATGGAGATCTTTTTTCCCTCTAACTTCTTCCCTGTTTTGCCTTCCATATGTCATCAAAAAAAAGAAGGGAGGTGTGTGAGCTTAAGCTCTCTGTTTTAGATAACCCTGACTACCTCATACCCTTTTTAAAAGTGCTTGTTACTTAAGATTTAGAAAAAAACCCACAACCTTGTTAAAATATGTTCAGTGTCATATTTTGTAGTGCTTTTCCTAATCTAGACAAGAACTCAAGTGACTGCCAGCCCCTATATGTGGAAAGTTGAACATTAGATTCACTTTTACGGAAATAGAAAGATGACAAATAATGCATTACTCTTGAGCAAGGAGTAGGGAAGTTTTGCCCTGGAGATTTAGTTCAAATCCTGGAGCTAGAATTTTAGAAAAGTCATTCTGAATATAAGAAAATTTAGCACTGGAATAGATTGATTCCTTGTGAGGTTGTGGAATTTTATCAGTAGATGTTTTTAGAATCAGTGAACTACCTTTGTAAGAGGAACCTGTGGACCAGTGTAACACAGGGCATTGTTCTACCTGCTTAAGGCAAGGGATAACCTGCAGCACCTTTGAGAGTGCCTTTGTACCCACTTACTTTGATTCTAAAATTGTTGCTGCGATTTCAGCCTATGGAAATGGAACAGGGATCTTTATTCTGCGGAAGGACAAATTGTGGTGTCTCAGCATCATCAGGTTTTCTTGCACAACATCATTTTATGGCAGTTTAACAGAAATATTTCCTATTTGTGTCTTCACATGTGGGGTACACTACAGTTTTTACAGCCTTCCTAGCTTAGTTGTTCATTTCAGAAAATAATTCTTGTGCTGGGATTGCACTGTAAGTGTGCAGATAGGGAAAATGTGGGAATGTAGTGCCTTATGCTTATGCCACAATTTTATGTCAGCTGAAAAGATGTACTAAAAGACAAAAAATCAGTAGAGATTTTTACCTTTAATGTTGCAGCCGCTCTAGTACTTTTTTTTTCTGTTTTAATTCCACTAGATGTAGACCAAGGTCAGGAAATCAAAGTATTTATGAATTCAGTGGCTAAGCAGTTCTCTGTTGCTTATGTAGATTGTTTTGTCACTGTTTGCAGGAAACTTTCAACTGGTTAAAGAGATTGTTGATGAAGACCCAAGTCAGGTCAATATTAGCAATGTTGATGGTGCGTCTCCATTAATGATTGCGGCTGTAACTGGACAGCTGCCCCTTGTTCAGCTCCTTGTGGAGAAAAATGCTGATATTGACAAGCAAGATAATGTTCATGGCTGGACAGCGTTAATGCAGGCCACATACCACGGGTAAGATATGTGTTCTCTTTGGGTCTAGCAGTAAAGAAGTTTAATTCTTACATCCCAGTAGAAAAAGCCCTTTTTGATACTGACTCTGGAAGCAGAGGGGTTTTACAAGAAATTGAGAGACTTGTGACCTCAGTTTTCCATGACTCTTGCACTGTCCTCAGCTCTTTGGTGCAGACCTGAATTTGAATTTCAGAATGAGTGCAAGATTTGGAAACTCGAAGTTTGCTCACTAAGTCCTGGGAATGTAATGCTCCAGGCAGGCACCAGGAACTTTGGTGCAGATTTCAACTTCCATCCTTTGATGTTTTTGAGTATTGTGTAAGATAGCATTATTCCCTTGCCAGGGTTGTAAGTCTACATCAAGCTGTGAAACTTCAGGGCAATCACCCTTTCATGTGTCATGTTTCAGTGTTAGACCATTCCTGTGTTCCCCTATTCAGCCTTTAGTTTTCATGGAGCTTTTGGAAAAGCAACCAAACTGATTGTTGCTTTCTCTAAAGCCCCTATATAATTGTAGGTAGACACTTAAGAGTCAAACCCCAGAAACTGGCCTGGTACGTCACATGTGATCTGTCATATACTTGTCACTGTCTGAATACAGTTTATTCAGTTTAGGAAGGTGAACTTTTCCCCATTGTTGTAGTTGAGGTCCTTAGCAAGGTGAAGATTCACTTCCCTCCTGGTAGTGCATTAAGTGTACAAAGGCAGATATTTCACTCCAACTTTTATTTTTAGTCTGCAGAACTTCATTGGACTATGAAGTTCAGAAGGGAAAAATAGGAGATAAGGTTGTCATTGCTTTGTGAAACATTCCTGAAGTAGTTCTTGGGACCTTGCAACACAGTATGGATAGTAGCGACAGGCATTCCCCAGAAATGCATGAAGATGAGTGTTTCTGGTGTGGCCATTTCACTTAGCAGCAGCCACCCCAGCACACAGCTGGAATAGAAGCAGAAAGTGATGTGCAGGGCTGCTGGCATGTCCCCTTCCTGGTACTCAGGCACTCTTCTTGTCTTTGGAAGTGCAGAGCACAGCTGAGTCCTGTGTGTGTTCACATATCAGATACTGCCTATTCAGTTTCTTGAAGGAATAGGTTAAAAAATCCCCTTCCTTGTTACATCAGTCAATCTTTATAGTATGAGAGTTTGTCAATTAATTTGGTTAATATGCTTAAGGGGAGCACCTCAGTGAAAGAACCAGAAGGACATCCCAGTCCTGGAAATAAGGGCTGCTTGGAAACTTTGAGCTATCCATGAAGGATAAAAGATAACCCTAGTCACCCAAGATAATGCCAGCATCATAGCCTCTCTTGCACATCTGTGAAACTCTCCCAGCGTTGTCTGGTGTCATAGATAACTAACAGTTGCAAGTTAAGGGGAGCACCTCAGTGAAAGAACCAGAAGGACATCCCAGTCCTGGAAATAAGGGCTGCTTGGAAACTTTGAGCTATCCATGAAGGATAAAAGATAACCCTAGTCACCCAAGATAATGCCAGCATCATAGCCTCTCTTGCACATCTGTGAAACTCTCCCAGCGTTGTCTGGTGTCATAGATAACTAACAGTTGCAAGACAGACTCTGGGGTGGATCAATATTTTTGAATGCTGCAGTTGTACTGTGATGAGCAATCAGTAGTGTGAGTGATACATTTGAAGTATACAAGAGCCTTGTGTGTAAAGGTGCCCTGATTTGTCTGGGGCACCTCATGTGCATAGATGAATACTTACCCTTATAATCGTGTATTTTGCATCCTAGCCATTTCTCTTGGCATGGACCAGTTACAAATTTTCATAACATCTGGAAAGCTTTAGTCTCCACAGAGCCTCTGCTAACCCTTCCTTAGGAGCAGCAGTGAGTGGTGTGGAGGGTCTCAGGCTTGAAGGAGGAAGCAGACAAGGTCTGTGTGAGCCAGAGGGGATGTGTCTCTGTATGCCCTCAAGGTGCAGGACTGGAAATCGTGACGGAAGGGTGATACAGTTTTAAAGAAGAGAAGAAAAGTAAGGGGAAGTATGCAGAGTAGCTGCACTGAGGATAAGCGGAATTTTTGTTAGAAGAGAGGAGTAACAATCCTCTTCCATTTTAGGTTTATTTTATCTGGGGTGAGTTCAGGAGTGGAAACCTCCTCTGTATGATAAGAAGCAGTGCTCTGAAGTGGAGATGTTGAGATCCATTTGTCAGCTTCAGTATCAGAATTTGCAGTCACCTTTTGCTGCTTGAGAACATTTTTGCTCTGTGTTGCTTATGCCTGTCAGAGTTTGTTTTTATACAAGGTCAGTTGCTGTTCAAGAAGAGTTTTGTATTAAACACATTTTTGCTAGCTTTGTTGTCTGTTCAGTTATTGTGTAGGCTGAATTAAAGTATTGTTTTTAACTCATGAGGCAAGTTCTGCTTATTTATTCAGGTGTGTGAGAGGGGAGAGAGGCTAATGGGAACAGGATGGTGAGTTTCTTTTATGCAGCCAGCTTTTAGGAGCTTTTGTTGGAAGGCATTTGTGTTGGTTGACATTTAATGCTGATTGCTTTTTGCATTTAAAACACCTCAAGGAAGTGATAATGTGCCTTCTCAATTACATAATTTATATCTGTAATTAAGTAAAGTAGTGTTTGAAGTTTATAAATTATCTTCAGTCAATTTGGCTTTTCTGTATGTAATTTCTTAATATGCGAGTTGTGAATATGAGGTTGTGTTGAAGTATTAGTGATGATGATTACTGAGCTGACCTTTGTCTTTCCATCTGCTTTTTTTCCCCAGGCATTAATGGCCTTTCACTGCAAAGGTGTTTGGCAACAAATTCCAGAGTCAGTTCCAAAGGATCAGCTTAAGAAACCGACTGTTCAAGTTAGGTTTTTAAGGCTGACTTTCTGCATGTTGATTACTGTAATTTGTAGTGAGTAAACAGTGACTGACAAAGGAGTCATATGGGAGCTTCTGAAGAGCTTGTCAACAAATTTTAAACTAGGTTAGCTGTAGAAAAGGTAAAACTGATCTCTAATTGAGGAATTGAGCAACAGTGTTATAAAAGGCTGAAAACCGAGTATTGGGGGTTTCTTTTTTTTCATGTATTTAGTTTTTAACATGAGCAATGCCTTTTTTTCTTCCCTTAAAGAAACAAAAATGTTGTAAAGTATTTGTTAAATCAAGGAGCTGACGTCAACCTTCGTGCAAAAAATGGATACACAGCTTTTGACCTGATAATGCTGCTGAATGATCCAGGTATGCTATTTCAAAAAGCTCTGAGGAAATGTACAAAACAAACAAATAAACATCCCTCCAATCTAGAAATACATTAAGATTGCTAGGAGGTATCCTCTGGTGTCCAGGCTGGACTGGGCCAAGAAAGGACAGTGCCTGAAAATGGTGGGGTTTGAGTTAATTGGTTAGATGATTGTAAACATTTATGGGATAACAGATTGTGTACATTCCTCTTGCTTTGGTTTTTGAAGATGCTCAAAAAATGTGTTTTTGTCACCAAAGCCAGTTCTGTAACATTTGACTGAGTGCACAGGTATTCGGTAGTGTCATTAGCACAGAGCTGTGAAGTGGAGCTAGAAACTTCCTCTCTATAAAGTACAGCAAAGGGACAGGACAAAGGAAAGTGCAGTCAGAGCAAAACTAGTGAACTCCTGGCTGAACTTCCCACTAGTTCTGTAAAGGTTGAGAATAAATCACACTTCAGGGTTCATGTTATTTTTATGGGAGTGCTTTAGAAAATGGCAGCATGTTTTGGGGAGACTTCAATGAAACATATTTTGTTTTTGTTGTAGTTTGTTTAGCCTACAAAATTTGTTATTGTTGACCTTGCTTGGTACCTGAGTTGATTTATCTGAAGCCAAACCCCACTATTGCTCATGAAATTAATGTTTGTTTTCTCTGTATTTGCACATTATGGTGGTTTTTGTCACTAGAAGATTCTTTTCCTTGTCAAAAGTAGATGGTTAATAGTATGAAATTTTAGGAAATAAATACAGTGAATTAATTTATAGCTAACTTCTAGGACAGAATAGTTGTCTTGTTACCTGTCTCGGTCAGTTCTTTCTGCCCTTCTGAAAATCCTACCTGACTGCTGCATAAACACAGATTTACAGAAAGTTTTTTTTTTGCTTTCCTGTCCTCATATCGTGCTTGTTCTTTTTTCTTCCTCTTACTTTTTTTTTTGTCCACCTTTTTTCTACCATGTCTTTCCAGTCCTTTCATTATCCAGGCTGAACATCTCCTTTCTCTTTGGGATTTAATTTCGAGCTTCTTTTCTGCAACCTACATTTGAAGAAAGAATATTCGTTTTTCTCTGCTCTCTTCTGTGTCAGGTGAGAAAAGGGAGCATCACAATATTGTACTTAACTTCTGTGAAGTACAAAAGGAGGCAGTTCACCTGGTTACACATGGCTGATTCTGCCTGAGTAGCATGCTTAGTTACATTGATAAATACCTTTAGAGAAGTGATGATAAGACTGCAGCCCACTGTGTGGACTGAAAGCTTGGGAATTGTAGATCAAGAAAGAAAGTTTGGGGGGTTCATCTGCTTTGTGTTTGAGAGGTATATCAATTAGTACTTACATGGATTTATAGGGAAAGTGTCAGTGTGTCAGTCTTAATTTAGGAAAGCAAGGTAGAACAAACATTATCTTAATTTGCTTTCTTCTAGACACAGAGCTTGTAAGGTTACTGGCATCAGCATGCATGCAAGTAGACAAAGACAAGAATAAACTGAACAACAGGTCATCTTTGCCTTCGTCCAGAAGTAGGCAATCCTTAGATGTCCCAATGTTGCCAGATGACAAAGGAGGTCTAAAGGTAAATGTATTCACTCTTGATAGATAACCAAATTCCTGTAATGCATAAACAGAGAAAGTTATTGCTAAGAAGTATTTTGGATCTAATATGTAACTGTGTTTGTCTGGGGAGTGTGGATGCGTGTTACTGTATTCCTCATTGATAATGCTTTCTGGTTTTATGGTGTAGCATGCGTTCAGGTTTCTTTTTGTCAGATGGCAAGGCAATGGGGAGACTTAAGGAAGAGTTTTCATTGAAGCATTTCAGTGTCTAGTAATAAATCTCATAATTAACTGGAAGGTACCATGTTCGTAAGTCTGGAAGTCAGACTCCATTATGATTCTAATTTTATATCTAGACAGGGGCCAGACTTCATTATGCTCATAAGTGAAAGCAGGCTATTGACATTGAAAATTAAGAAGATGATAGCAGAGATTTTAATATCTGAAGAGTAGTGGAGGAGTGTGCAGTTAAGGCTTACATATCCTCTGGCATGTTGTATCCTTAGTTCGAAATTGACAGTGGGCCGCTAGGAATCAAGGTAGAATTGGAACAAGTGCATGGCACTTGAACAAAGATACTGCAACTTACATTGTCTCTTTGCAAAAGGAAAGAAGGAAAAAGTGTTCGTGTTGTTGTTTCTGTTGTTGTTTATTTAGGTGAATAATTTCTAATTACACGGTACCTCAGAAATTTCTTGAGTCCATGATGTTATCTTTTAACTATAAATATTATCAGGGTCTTGGAAACAGACATGTTAATTTCTAGGCTATTTTTGGCATGAGTTTTAAAATATGTTTAAAGTTCTAGTTCAGCTCAGATCTGTTTTGCAGTTTTAACTATGAAGGAACAAGTGATTATTTTCATATGATTATGCTATTATGTGATATGACACAACTTCTGTGTCAATTTAGATGTACCTATTTAAGAATGCATTTACTGAGATGGGAGATTATCAGAACAGCTTCTGGCTTTATGGAATACAGATCAACAATAATTTGGATTGCAATTCTTGTGTTATGACACAAAGGTTTGAATTAGGGTCATAAAAGAGGATGAAGGGAAATTAAAAAAAAAAGATTTGTCAGTGAGAGAGATATACGTATGAGTACTGACTCAAATGTAGTATTTTGTAATGTTTAAGTATTTGGTCTGAAAACCACAAAGTGTTAACAGTGTTTACAAGTCTTAGTCAAGCATTTTTTCAGCAGAAGTTGTATTGTGTATAGTTCTCTGATAAATATAGATAACCTGAAAGCTAATATGGCCCCTTCTTTCATCTACTTAATGCTTTATTAATCAGCCAGTCTGACCATGAGTATGTTACATATCTTACTCTCCTTAAAAATGTTCAAAGAGGGTAAAAATGACATTTTCACTGCCTTCTCCCACTGCTGCCAGGCTTCAGCCTTTTGACGTTTTGTTTGTCTGGGTGGAGGGCGGTGTCGTAACATTTATCTCTCTTTTTGGACCAGTTGGAGAGTTTCTGGAGTGAGACACCTCTCCTGGGTTTTGTAGCAACAGTGTTTCTATGTGGATGACTGCTCTATGCTGAGCCAGGACTGTAAGCAAAAGATACTTATGGTGACTCAACCAGTGCAGCATTTTCTGCCTGTATCAGTGCAGTGACTGAATGTGGGGCCTACAGTCATAGAAATACAAAAATGAGAGGGAACTCAAGAGGCTCATGTGCCTTTATATGAGGATACAGAATGAACATCCTTGATGGAAGTTTCTGCTCTCTCTTCTTTCGCTGTGGTGAAGAAGATCCCCTGATCCCATGGTCTCCATCAGCACCCAGTTCTACTGCTTGTCGCTTCTTGTGGTCAGAATTGTTTTCCTCTGTTGTAACCCAGATTTGTCTTGTTGCCTGTTGATTGGTTCTCATTCAGTGGCCACCTTCATTTTTATAAGAACTATATAAATAATCATCATATTCAGTCTTAATTCAAATTTCCTTGTTATCAGGGTTTTTTTCCTAAACTTCTTACTATTTCTTTGTATGTATCTGTCAAGGTGTTTCATTGTTGCTGTTGTTAGTGAATGTTCCCAGACTCCTGTTTCACTCCACAAAGTATTTTCTCCCAATTTGAGATCAAATTGTTGGCAGTTTGTCTCTTAATACATTTTTTTGGACTGTGGTACTTTCCCTTTATTAGTTTTACTTGAATCATATTTCTTTCAGTCATTTGATGAATATTACATGAAACAGCAATAAAAGCTGTATTAAAGTTAAGCTGTGTTACAGATTTTCCTCCCTTCTGCCCACGTGACTAGGTACTCTTGTCTAAAAGAGATTAATTTGGTGGGATTTATCCCCAACAAACCTAAGTTGGCTGTGTCTTATGAGCTGTGATGAAGTTTTTTCAATTATGTCCTTTCATGTTAAGCATTTTGATCAGTTAATTTTCAGTTTTTCCTCTTTGGGTGATTGTGTACTTGCCCTCTGCCTGATTTCTGTAACTTCACAGGCAATCAGGGACTCATAGACTGGTTTGAGTTAGAAGGACCTTAAAGATCATCAAGTTCTAACCCCCTGCCATGGGCAGAGGCAAATATGTTGGAAGAGCTTTGCTTCACGTCCCCCAGATTCTGCTTTCTGCAATGTTTTGTAGTGCAAGTCCTTCAGTCAGGGTTCTCTGCTGGCTCTCTCTGAGAGGTCATGCTGTCTGTAATTACTCTAGGGTAATTTTAATCTTGTCTGGTTATAATTTGTGTAAGATTATTGAAATACTCTGTTAACCAAATGCGCATATATTCCTACTTTCTTCCTGTTAATGGTATTCATACTAAAATATCTGGTCACAGGTAGACTGCTTTTGAAGTTTAAAAAAAATAAACTTTTTTCTGTCTCTCCTCTTTGTTCACTTTTGTCATTAAGTAGTAGACTTTTTATTTTGTCATGTGCTTCTTTTATTTGTAATTTATACATAATACAGGTCCTTGTTCCTTTACCTATTGATTATGCAGTGGATATCCTTGATCTCATTCTTTACCTCTTTCACACAAGAACTGTTAACTGCTTTGTTTCTCACCATTTCATTGCCTTGAAAACAAAGTTGTGCCTTTTCCATGTGCAGTAATTTTATTTCTTCTTTTTTTCCCTGTTTGTTTTTTTCAGCAAGTTATACTTTCAATGTCTGTATTAGAGCTGTGTGAATTATCACATTCAGTTTCTGTTTTAGATGAAAGTTGTTTGAGGGCAGAGATTTCCAGTTTTCCCCTTATTCTTAAATTCCAAATATGTCTAAGGTGTTGTCACTTGAGAAATACCTTTTTTCTAGTCCTTTGGTACTGTTGCCTTCTCCCACTGCTACTAGATTTCAGCCTTTTGACACAGTATTTGTTACCTGACTGCTTCAGTCTTCTTTAAAGCCTTTTATTCCAGCTTCTCTACCTGTGTGATGTGGTGAGGGTATATGGAGAGGCCACAACCTCCTGCAACAGCAGACTTAAAACTCCGAAGCTCAGACCATCATACCCTGAACACCAGAGGGCAAGATTAACCCCTTTAGTATTATTCCTTTCTTGCTGGAGAGCAGTAGTTTTGTCTGGTAATATAGTGGCTGTAAGTACTTCATTTCAGGTTAGTTTGTGGTGTGAGCATAGGTTAGCGAAGCAGAAGCACTGTGAGGAAGGGTAACAGAGATGCTGGGTAGTTAGACATGATCTTTCTTACAGAAGCAAGCTAGCTTCAGTGGACAAAACCAAACCACGTTGTGCAGGAACTCTCTTTTGTAAGCTCATTGTACTCTGTGTTAAAACCAGATGGATTTTTTTGCCCTTTCAGTTCCTTTTGGAAGGTGAATAAATGTTGAACTCTGTGGGTTTTATTGCTTTCTCAGAGCTATTTTTCTCTCTTGCCTTTTCTCATTAGATCTTTGTTGCTGAAAGTAATGTAAATCTTTATTAGTTATGACTCTGAAGAGGTATGGAAGTCTGAGAAGTCTATCCATTACTAATGCTCTGTGCAGATTTGAGATCTTTTTAATGATCTTCTGCTACAAGGATTGATATGCAGGGAATAAATTTGCAGTTTATATTACTTCTCCTGTATGACATATCAGTAAGCAGTTGAGAAATATTAAATGCTAAGAAGAGAGCAGAATATGTATTGTATGAAGGGATGGTTAAGAATAGAGAATAAAACTAGGAAAGTGTTGTTGTCTGGATTGGCTATCACATAAAGCTGTCTTGATGAACTATCATCACTTTTACATGACTTGCATTTAAAAAAAGAGAGGGAAGAAGAAACTTTACTTCTTAGTAAATAATCAGAAGATATTTATAATCTGACTACAAGCCACATAATCTTTAATGCAGATTGCGTAGGTCTTGTATAGGCTAGAAAAATGTCCTGCTAAATACTTTGAGCATCTTGCACTGTTTACCTGTAAAAATGTGCAAGTTTGTGAATACTTGAATAAATTTTATTTCAAGCAAAGATAGTCCTTTTGTGTAACACTTGTGTAACACATATGTGATACCTGTATGGATAGAGGTTGTAGGTGCAGTAGTCCTAAGGTTTGTGTTGTTTTCACAGCTGGTATTTCCTTGGCTTGCTCTTCTTCAGTTTGCAGTCTTTCCAGTCTAGTAGAGTTTAAATTATCTGTATAGCAGCACTGTATGGATTGTAGATCTTTAGTTTGACAGGAGTACTATTAGAACTCTTCCAGTTTGCCACTGATTTTGAAAGTCTTAAGGAGAAGCTTTCATGCAGATCAGAGAAGCTTCTATGCATACCTCTAAAGAGCAGAAAATAGACATACCAGTTCATTGATGCCAGAGAGTGTAAGAATGGGTGGTGAAGTTGGAAGTTAATTGGAATATTAAATATTTGCTATGTAGCTGTAAATTTTCTAGTCAAAATTGCCCTAATACTTCTACCTACCTTGGCTTTCCAGGTAGTACGGAAAAACATTTTAAGACATTTCTCAGGTAAAAAGTAAGGGAAGAGATTAATCTTACACGTACAAATTATGGTGAAGGATTCTGTGGATAATTGCGAACCACTTTAACATCATTGTTTAGTTTATCTCAAGAACTCCTTGACAGAATTATCACTGCTGTAAGGATTACTTAATTATACATTTCTTTTTCATTTTATTTTTATTTTTCTTTTAGTTGGAACTAAATTGTTATGTCTTCTTATCAATCTAGTCCTGGTGGAGCAGGATGTCCAATCGATTCCGCAAGCTGAAGTTGACTCAGACATTGCGCCATGGATTTCCTTCCAATCAATTTGTGCCTTTTCCAGATGAACCTGAACCATCATTAAATTCCACTATAAAAGCAGTTTCACAGAGTGATACAGACACCTCTGGGAACCTTGATACTGCCACAGCTCGGATCACAAATGCCAAAGCTATCGGTAAAGCCAGAGGTGTCATGTGGGAAGTGAGCTCTCGTGGGGTACTCAAGATGATGCTATTTCTTATTTGTTGATTTAGTTCTTATTTAGCTTCATATAAGTGAAAAGACATGTAATATATTTGCCGTATATAGAAAAAGAGATGTTTGTGCCTCTGACTGTTGATCGTGCTGAGCGCTGAGTGCAGCAGCATTTAAACAGGAAAATGCTAACATGACCACTGAATTGGACAATAGAGACTGGTCACTGAAATGTGTTAGTGTCTTTGATAAACTAATTTATTTAATGAAAACCAATTTATTTAAACAAATAAATAATTCAGTGAAGAAAGAGATTACTGAGGGTAAAGCTGTTGACTGTTTGATAACAATAAGCTATCCTTGGGAACAAAAGTAGGAGCATGGTGTAGTGGGGAGGTGTCCCTGACCAAGGTGGGGGGAAGTTGGGACTAGATGATCTGTAAGGTCCATTCCTACCCCTAAAATTCCATGATTCTATTCAAACAATAAAACATCATTCATGTGTTTTTCAGGTATAAACACTGCAAAAGGAGGAAAGGATGATGAATTATTGACAACCATGGTATGTCACAGTGTTCTTGGTGTGTTCAGTTCATCAGGTCATGCAGCACCCATAATTTTGAGGTTTTTGCCTCCTGTCACTTTAGAAAGAGAGCTGTCATTTGTTTATAGTCACTGTCAGGAACCATCAGGCTTTTGATACATCAGTAGTTCTTAGACTAGGAAGTACTACAAGGAGTACGGTGTGAAAGCTGTTCAGTAGTACTGATGTTTTCCAGGAGTTACCCATACCTGTGTTTGATCAGCAATTAATTAGTAAAAAAGATGGAACAGCTGATCAGTTGCTGACAAGCAGTATGCTGTGCGGAAAACATGGCTGGGTTGTGGTACAGTCATAGTGTGAAATTGTTAGTAGAGGCAACCATAAAATAATTTCATTCAGGATGTTTATTTGTGTTATTCTGTTTCTTCATTTGTTACACCGTAGCTTTAAATTCCCCTACAGCTTACTCCCTGGAGATGTCATTAAATTTGGCTGGTTATCCTTTATGTTCTTTTGTAAGAACTTAGAGTCCCTTTTGATGTGATTGACTGACAGAACTCCAGGGAGCCAAATCAGTTGTGTTGTTTTTATCTCTTTCTGGAGAACACATGCAGCAGGAGCAGGCAGTAGTTCAGTTTCCAGGTGTCCTGCCTGAGAGTACGGAGGATTACCTGGTTATTTCTTTGAAAAGTAATCATTGATGTTCTTGTGAAAATCAATTTGAACAAGATTCTGCCCAGTGCAGGAAGGGACAGTTTCTGCCACTTAATGAACTATATTAATTGTGTAAATGAATAAGCATAATACTGAGGGATGCTACAGTGTTCATTGGATTCTCTTTATTACTTTATGCTGTACTTTTTCACAAATACTACTCTTGTGTCTCATTTCCTTTTTATTCTGTTTAAACATGCATGCGTCTCCATCTTTTTGTTCAACTTAAAATTTCGAAACTACATCACCAGCTCCCAGGAATCTTTCTTAAGAAGTGACCTGTGTTAATTTGTTTCCCTGTCTCAGCTGAGAAGCAGTGCTCCGTTTACCAGGCTGCCCAGTGATAAGCTGAAAGCAGTGATTCCTCCTTTCTTACCACCCTCGAGTTTTGAGCTTTGGAATTCTGACCGAACACGACTCAGCAAAGATGGCAAAGCTGAACAGATGAGAACTGCCTGGCCACAGAGAGCAATCAAGCACGACTTTAACAGCAGTGGCAACTCTGATATAGTAAGCAAACAAAAAGGATATGAAAGTACTGTGTTATGTCCAGTCCATGTTGACTGGTGAGCCACACTGTGTTTCTGATTAGAAATTGCTTCGAATCCACTGTCTCAGTAATGGCTTGTCCTTTTAAGCGGTGCTGTTCAGGAATAATGCACGTGTCTGTGGAAGGAACATAAATGGAACAAAAGTTTTGTATGAAATGAAGTGATTTTCTTTGATCTGATAACCAGAATAAAGCATAGCCCTAACAAATTTAGTATAAACTGCTGAAGTAGCTGCTGGTTCCACCCATATCTTTTAGTAATCTAAGTAGGTGCAGTCATTGGAATGTGGTGGAAATTGCTCTGATTGGGTAAAAGACTAGGGACAGAAGGTGCAGTCATTGGAATGTGGTGGAAACTGCCCTGATTTGGTAAAAGACTAGGGACAGAAAAAAAGAATGAAGGTTACTCAATTATGCAGACATAGCATTCTGAAAGATTAGCCATTGATAAAATTATAGCAAGAGGTGATCAAGTGGGCTTGAAGGCATACAGCCTTAAGTTGCAAGTACCATAAAAAGGAAAAAAGTCTGAGTTATTTCTATTTTTTGTAGAAGCAGTTTGCCTGATTCTACGGGGTTTTTAGTGAAAATGTAAACCAAAAGAAAAATAGATGGTTTGTCTTGAGACAGGAAACTAGACAACCTGGACAGCCTTTGCTTTCATAGTAGAAGAAAAAGGAGAAGTTCTTACTCCCCTAATTGTACACTGTAATAGCCAAGTATGAGAAGAGCTTATTTTACTAGTCCAGAACTGTGTTTCATGTCAGTTCTAGAAATAGGACAATGAAGACATTTTTAGGAGGAATTATTTTCTGTTTTCCTTTTTTAAGTGGAAGTTAGGTTAATACCAGTAGAAGTGATTTAGGTCAACTAAGCTGGAGTGTTAGAGGGGAAGTGACACAACAGGAAGGTAAGTGTTCATCATCCTAAAAAAGATGATTGTAATAACATTAGTGGATAATTGGCACTTGTGTATAAAATGAGGAGCAGGGAAAGCAGGGGGGGACTCCTTCTGTGAGGAAAGAAAGGTTTTGCTAAGGAAATAGAGAGCAGAGAAACATAATAAGAATTAGAAGAAGTGATTTGAGCAACAAAGATAAGAAATGTGAAAAAGCTGAGCTGCAAAAGCCAATGTCAGATGGCTGGCAGTGGCCAGTGTTGTAAAAGCAAAAGAAATGAAGGAGGATGTGGCTGAGGATTTGACTCAGTAGTGCCTCAGTTAACAGAAGTCAATAGGGATAAGATGGATGAGAAGTAGGTGGTAGCTGTTTAGTAAGATGGGAGAAACAAAACCAGAAGTTTCACAAGTGATCATTTCTTTTTTTGTAAAATAAGATTATTTCCGATACTTATTTTGTTCTTCAGTGAAGATTTCAGAACTTGAGGTAAATAAAACAGCAGCTGATGTTTGATCTTTATTTTACTCAATTAAAAAGAAGAAAATTATTTTTCATTTTGTTTTCCAGACATCTGTTAGCAAAGGTACTAGACCAGTCAAATTACCAACTTTTGCAAGAAGACCAGCATCTCCTTCGAACTCCAACAACTTCAACCACTCTCCCCATTCTTCTGGTGGATCCAATAACATTGCTGGAATCAACAGGCATGGAGGAGAACTGCATAACAGATCGGGTACTGTTTTTGATAAGAAAGTAATTTGTGTCTGATTCAACTAAAAAAATTAGTGTTTATGATGATGGTAGAAGATAACCTTTTCTGAGGGCTCCTACTGCTGTAGAAGCAAAACTTGTATAAATTTTGTTGGAACAGGATAGGACTTTGAACACCTACATACGAGAAGAAAAGCCTCACCTCTGTTACAGAAGTCTTGCTGGTCAGTCCCTGTCTCAGAAGAACATGCAGATTTTATTAATCCACCCATGGTGTGTCAGGTGGATGTTCATCCATTGCAACATGCATTTCAGAGAGCTGACTCTTACCCGTGTTGCTTATTTTTATTTAAAATAAAAATCAGTTTTATACTAAAAGCAAAGTTGCAAGCATTGTACCTGGCAGCTGTTAAAGACAATATTGTGAAGCAGCTCATAAAACCTATATCCAAGAGTATGAAAGTCAGCTCTGTGTGTATATGGACAGGTCTGGCTTCTCTCTTATGCAGTTGACTTCCATTCCTTTTTCTGAAAGCTGCTGGACAGAGCTGAACCTTCTATCTTGCTTCATCCAGTCAGTTTCTAGAAGAAAGTGAGTGGCAGAAAGAGAAGAATTGAGAATTAAATATTTCAAAGTTATGGTTTGCTTGACTGGTTTTATTTTATTTTATTTAGGTGGCAGCGCAGATAATGTTCTGTCACAGATTGCAGCCCAAAGAAGAAAAGCAGCAGGTTTACCAGAACAGAAGCCCAGCCAACAGCACAGTCCAGTCCACTCAACTCCTTCATCCACTCTGTCTGATTTGCAGTGTGCTCAGATTGTTGGCAATGGACATGCTGTAAAGGTGCGGAGAAATGTAAATTTTTGTACTTCCAAAATGGCTAATTTCAGCAGGTCAAATCTCAGTCATGGGTGGCTGATACATGATATTGCACAGCCTGAAATGAATGAATGAAGGAGTGGAAACTTCAGCTCCACAATCCTTACTTTTAATTGCAAACCAGTAGAAGATCAGACCTAATAATAAACCATGATTTTGCTTTATTATTAATTTCACTCTATTTTAAAAAGTAGTAAATGTAATACTCAGTCTGCACTATTAGTTTGGTTTCTCATTATTTCTTTCTATGGCCCAGATCCAGTGTTTTATGTTAGTTATTCCTAGACATGACTCTGAAGTGATGTAGCTAGTTTCCCTTCCAAGGCTCAACGTGAATGCAGAACACGCCAGAATTTGTACCAGGATATGCTGACCACAACAATATACACATATCCAGTCTGCTCCACAAGGTGTTGTTTTCAGACAGTATTTCTTCAGCAAAGTTGGGTTTTGCTCCTTGTATTATTATGATGACAATGATGCTGCTATATTATCTGTGCTGACTTACTTCTCAGTTTCTTGGAATAGCTTTACCCTCATGACCTGCCCCTTTTGGTGCATGTACTTTGAAGTTCACAACTTCTTTGTACAAAATTTTTAAGGATTAAGATGTTAAATCTTCAAAATCTGCAGAGATACAAATTTGAAAGTGGCATCATAACAGAACATGTGATACACTATTGAGAAGTTATATGGGTTTATTCACACAGGGAAACATTACAATTCAAAGAGCAAGAAAAAGCAAGCACATAATTTTGGGGGTTATATTCTGATGTCTGGTATGCTGGAAATGTGAGAATACATGGCCAAGAGCAGAATTTCTCAAACTTTTGCTTGTGTAATCTCCAAACAGCTTGTTTTGCTTTGTTTTGTTTTCTTTGCATCTTTTAATGAGATACTTCTTGAAGTTTTGCCTGAGGAAACAAAAGTGTCCTGAGTGTAAAATTAATACTTTTGCTATCCCATTCTGGGATGTCTTACATGGCAACATGGCACAATGTGTATTAAATTAGTAGATATAAATGGAGTTGCAAAGTTACTCAGTGATTTAATGGAAATTTCTGGAGGACAAAAATCAGAAAAAGAAAAGTGTGCAACTACCAATGCTGAAACAGTTTCCATGAATAGTCCCTTTGTCTCTGGTCTGTCAGTCCTGATCTCTGGACAGACTACTGGTTGCTTTTCAAATATGAGATTGGGAGCTAAAATTTCTAACTCAGCTGGACCACTGAAGGTTGTGGACTCATACCAATTCTTTGGGATACAATAATCTTTCCTCCCTTTCTATCCCATGTAACTGCTCCCTGGGTTATAAATTATTATAACTTTAACACTTCATCAGTCTCTTCTGCAGAGCAGCTACCAAATGCTTTTTTCAAAGGTGGTCTGATAATGTATCTGTAAGTAAACTCTCAGCACTTCTTCTCAGCTTGTTTTTATCTTGGAAAGATCTTCAGAAGAGCTGCTTGTCTGCCACCCAAAATCTTAATTTTCTCCAGTTATATTAAGGGGTAATACCTCTGTCTGTGAGCTTTGGGCTGCTGATCCTGGGGCCTGTTGTTACAATACTGTCACTAAGAAGTTTAACTATTATTCCCACTCACAGTGGAAGACATTAGGGGGTAAAGCAGTAGTGAGGTGCAATGCGCTGCAGATCATCTTCTGGAAAGGGAGTTCATAACACTGTTGAAAGGATTTTTAAATAAAAATTACGCCAGTGTCTTGGAAAGCCAACAGCTCTTTTAGTGTACTTTGCTTAGATGTCTAGGTGAGTTTCATTCTATCCTCCAGTAACAAAACGTGTAATCAATGTGGATCTCACTATAGATGTTCATGTATCGCAGGTCTGAAGTGATTTTTGGAGCATTAGTTTCTGTTGGGAGAGCACAATCAAGTACAGATCCATGCTGGCTGCCAAAACTATAATAGCTTGCTTTGTTGTGGTAACCAGCAGCGTAAGTGCTGAAAATTTAGTGTCTGTATCCATTGTGGAATGCCTTGTGCCCTCCCATTATGATCATGCTATCTGAACCTGGAAATAGCCAGTGTAAAAATGCAGTGATGTTACACTGATCAATTTTGCAAAAGTTATCCGTGAGGGGTGAGATTGTGCAAGTTTTAAAGCAGGGAAAAAATACCTGACTGACAATTTGCAGGGTGATGTAACTTAAATAAATGCAGAAGTGCTAGAGAGGAAGACCATTCTGAAACGCAAATGATCAATAACAGAATAGAGGGAAATTTTGTGACAAAAAGTTGAAATAAGTTCACATTGCTCTTCCAAAACCACTCTAATTTGTATTGTGCTCCATTAATTTTAGTCCATTCAATGCAGCACTAAGGAAGCATTATATTCTGACGTAGGATGGAGTAATGGAAGAAAGTTACTACTCAAATACTTTTTATTTTTAATCTGCTTCTCTTTCATTAACTAGAAAAGTTCTGTTTATGCCATGGCACAGAAGCAAAACTGTAGAGGCAGGAATGACTGTCATTCTCTCTTTGTGCCTTGGTACCCAGCTCAACTTTTTTTATACGTTGCGTGTAGTAGCCTGAGTGACAAAAACTTCTTAAACTCTGAATTCAGGAATCCAGGAAAAAAATGACCTTCTCTTTAGATTATATAATGCAGACAGCAAAATGTGTGAAGTGATACATAGATTGAGGAATTTAGGAGATGAGGAATTTAGTATTTGACTTGTTTTGGAAGAGACTGATATATGTACATATGTATACCTATCCCTCATTTTAACTTGTGTATTTTCCTGTTTTCAGTGTGTTAAATATTTGAAAAATACTTACTTTGAATCATTTGACTCGTATTAGGTAATAACAAGTTTAAGGGTTGACTGGAAACTCTCATTCCAGTGCACCAAGGGGTTTAAATGCACTCAAAACTTAGTTTACGCTTGCTACATATTTCTGGTTAATCCAGCATGAAGTGCTACTTTAAATTAGCATCTGATAAGATTTGAAAAGTTTTGAGACTGTAATTAAATCTCTGGATGAAAAATCCCTGTTTTCAGAGTCAAAGTAATTTACTTTGTTACTGTTATGAAATTGTTCTTATCTCAACCTACAAATTTTACTTTTGATTCATCTCCCCCTTCCCTGGGTGGAGAAGACGTGAGTGAACAGCTGTGTGGTGCATAGCTGCCAGCTGGGCTTAAACCATCACAGTCCTTTTAGAAGAGGAATAATTGTAGTGCTTGTGTGTAGTATTCCTTTACAAGAAATAATTTTCTTATTACAAAACTACAGCCTTAATAAAAGTATTTATCTTGATGAATTTGAGGAGACAGACTTTTATTTGGGATAAATCAGTATTGCTCGAGTTATTTCAATATGAATCAAGCAGAAGCTTCTAGCTGTGACTACATGCTATGCAGAAATGATATGCAACTTAAGTAATATTGAAGCATCATATATAGGTAAACACCTCTTTTTTTTTTTTTTTTTTTTTAACTGAAATGATTGTATCATTAACTACAGCAAAAACTGGAGATGAACAAAAGACCTCCATCTGGGACTTCATCTACGTCTAAAAGCACATCACCAACTCTCACACCTTCCCCATCACCTTCCCCATCTCCTAAGGTTCACAACGCAGAGTCTTCTCTCTCTTCTTCTCACAGACAGGCCAAAAGCAATGGTTCCAGCAGTGGTACTATTACAGAAGATGGTGAGTATGTCACTGTAATTAGAGAAGATTCATTCATCAAGAGCACTAAGTGTTTAAAGCTATACCCGTACTGGATTAGGGTGTATCTCCATGAGAGTGAGAGTGATTTCCTTTCTAGAAAATG